TTTTTGTTGTCTCCCTCTGGTATCCATAGTGCTTTGTCTCTGAGGTCAATTACTGTAACACTAAATATATAATAATAGTAATTCAACACTTCTTTGAATTACCGGTACCCTAATAACAATAATAATAATAATTATTATTATTATTACTAGGTGAATGTATAAAACATTAGGCAAACACAACAAAAAATAATAAGAAAAATAATAATTCAAAACAAAGACAAAGAGCCTGAATGGAATGCATTCAATAATAGTAATAATAATGATAATGATAATAATCTTGTTTCCTTAGTTTTTTCCCAATCATTTTCCCGTACCAAAAATTAACATCACAATTTTAGACTTCAATTGAACATTGATTTTTAAAAAATTACTCAACAATTTGAATGCAGTTTACCCACAAAAACTAGTAACTACACTTAAGTTTACTATTTTAAATAAAAATTTCCTAATTTGGAAACCATTGATAGCAAAATTCACTTTATTCAGTTTGTTACACATTGAAACATCAACGGTAATTACTTTTTCTTCGTTAATATTTTCATGTAAGTTCACACACTAATCCAGAAATAGAGACAAGTGCATGATAGCTTAAATTTCATACCTTATAGTTTTAATTTAGTTGCCAAGTTACACAGTTACAGCATGAATACAGGAGGAAAGGTATACAGATACCATCAAATTTTAATATAATTATAATAATTATGGTTACAAAGTTACCAAGTTACTTTAAGTTACTTATAGTTGCAAAATAACTGAGAGTAACCCATGCAGTTCCCAAAGTTACCAAGTAACCAAGTTACTGAGTTATCAAGTTACTTATAGTTGCCACTGAAATAACTGACAGTAACCCATGCAGTCCCAAAGTTACCAAGTTACCCAGTTACTGAGTTACCAAGTTACCTATAGTTACCGAGTTACCCAGCTACCAAGTTACCCAGTTACCAAGTTACCTATAGTTACCAAGTTACCTATAGTTACCAAGTTACTGAGTTACCAAGTTACCCAGTTACTGAGTTACCAAGTTACCTATAGTTACCAAGTTACTTATAGTTACCAAGTTACCCAGTTACCAAGTTACCCAGTTACCAAGTTACCTATAGTTACCAAGTTACTTATAGTTACCAAGTTACCAAGTTACCTATAGTTACCAAGTTACCTATAGTTACCAAGTTACCCAGTTACCAAGTTACCCAGTTACCAAGTTACCCAGCTACCAAGTTACCCAGTTACCAAGTTACTGAGTTACCAAGTTACCCAGTTACTGAGTTACCAAGTTACCTATAGTTACCAAGTTACTTATAGTTACCAAGTTACCCAGTTACCAAGTTACCCAGTTACCAAGTTACCCAGCTACCAAGTTACCCAGTTACCAAGTTACCCAGTTACTGAGTTACCAAGTTACCTATAGTTACTGAGTTACCCAGCTACCAAGTTACCCAGTTACCAAGTTACTGAGTTAACCAAGTTACCCAGTTACTGAGTTACCAAGTTACCCAGTTACCTTACTGAGTTACCAAGTTACCCAATTACCAAGCTAGCCATCTATCATTTGACAGTTATAGGTTCATAGAGCTATGGTTCCTAAGCATCATGTAGATCTATACCCATAAGTCACAATAAGTAGCTCCAAGCCAGAGTAGTCAAAGTGACCAAAGTTACTGGTAACTCCACTTTTTTATTTAGTTTGTTGGTGTCCTCATACCTTGCCACATATGTAAACACCGGGCCACTCATTTGACATCCGTAACTATTTCTCATTCTCAACTTGCTCCACTCGCAGTTCAGCCAACAAGAAGCTAGTTCACTCTTCCCTGGTTTGCTCCTCAGCTCACCACACATTCTTTCACCGTTTTCCCCGTTTATGGAAATCTCTACCTCCAATCAATCTCTCTATGTCTATCCCAAGTTTTAAAAGCTAATTACATCCCATTTCATTGACAAATTTACAAATGTTTTTAATTCTTCTGATTCACACACACTACACACTGTCTGTCCATGCTCTAATTGTTTATGTACATCTCTCCTCTTTTCTCTCCTCCTCTTGACTCCTTTTCTTTTCTGTATTTATGTACTGGGTGGCAGGGCTAGACCCTGTCATTCCTTTGGGCTTATACTGGACCTCTACCACTATCTGTTTCTCCTTCTCTTGTCTAGTCCTATAAAATTCCAATAATAATAATAATAAATTTACTAAGAGTAGAATTGGAGTCTGAAGAAAGCAATATCTTTGCTTCTATATGTCCTAATGGAATTTATTAAAGTCCATGAGCCAACTATAGACACTGGATGATGGCCAGTAAGCAGTAGCAAGATTGCTGTCACAAATAAATACAGTGGTTTTTGGAGAATAAGCTCTTTTCACGACTGCTCCATAGACAACCATCGAAATGTAGCTAGATTTAGATCTAGATTCTTTTTATAATGTTCTTTTTCAAAATCGTCCTGTTTCTTAAAGTGGTCATACATTAACTCACCGGAAACAGCTCAAACTATTTTTACATAGCATAAGGACATATATATGTATC